GTCCTGTCAGTGTGACCAGTCGACGGTTTATAGCTCATTCCCGGTGGGGCACTACTCCGCTGGTGGCAGATTCCTGGTTGATGAAAACTTCGTACTCCGACACATAGGCGGGTACCGGAACTCATCAACTAGCGGTGGGGGGCGGGGCGGGGAAGAGATCTCCGCTACCTCCCAGAATAACACATGCACTACACGTAGGAGACTAAAGAATAACAGCTGACGAGCCCTGAAGCTCTCAATAATCGAAGTGTAAAACTTCACTATAACTCAATATGGCATTCACTAATTGTTGTGGATTCGTTAGTATACTTCTTAGAACAATTGTAAATTCCATACTATATTAAAGGTATGCGCGTTTATCATCAAAAAAGAAAAAAAAGAATAAAAACATTTGTGACGGACGGTTTAAGTTCAGTATTAAATAGCTTTTTCTCTCCGACGTTCACATATATCTTGTTTCTCACTGTATCTTCTAAAATTGCTTGCTTGACCCACATTACCCAAGATAATTATAACAGTTGATATTTGCGGACATCCCCGAATGAGACAACGAACTTGCCGAGTTGTTTCCAAATCTGCTGAAAAGCTTAATGTACGCCTGCGGCGAGTTTCCCCAAAGTGGGTCCATTATCAGCCGGGGGAGTTAGAGGCGCGCTGACCTCATCGCGGCCGCCCTCCGCCCCCGCACCGCCGCCGCAGCCGCCGCGGGACGTGGAAGGTCACGGCCGCCCAGCCGGCGGCCGGTCGGCGCTGCGGCGCTCTGCTTTGCCGGCGGCGGCACCGACCGGCGCGCCGCGGCGCGGTGCCGGCGGCGACACGCGCTCTTTGGGCCATCGCTTGGTCCATGCGAATCCAGCCCGGAGTACTAGCGTGCAAGGCTCAATGGTTGCTCTATCTGAGATGCAACAGGGAGGATTGCCTTTTGCTTGTGGCGGAATCGCTGATCAAGATAGGCCATCGAGTTAGCGGCTGGCAGCTACCCTGATGGTAATTTTAATAGATTATTTTAAATGCATTGCGCAGACGCTAAATATAGTACAGGAAGGTGATCTTGGCTTTCTTCATACTTGTATACTTCTCTTCCTTACCACATGATGCACCCACACTATACATGATCGTCCACCAAAAACGGAATATTGAGTTAGCCCGGAGTTTGGTGCTCTCTTTGGACAGAGAGCGAGGAGGAGAAAACGACGTGTATATTTGTACGGAATCGTCGCGTTCTTAGTGTGGCAGAATTACACCACTTCCCAGGTGTAAAAGCAGAAAGGTCGGGAACATAATGAGTAAGAGTATGGTGCGCGAAACAATAATGGAACTGACTCCTCTATTCTCACGAGAAGTGGGATGGTGAAGCTACATATCTTGACTCGAGAACGGAATATTAATTAATATTAGACCGAATTCTCGTACTTAGCGATTTGTTATGGGGAAGGACGAGGTACACTAGATCCTTTAGTTAGTCGAGTGATGGTAATCACCAGTTGGAGTACCAGAGTTTCGTACGGCAATACGTTCTAACAGGGACATGGGGAGGGATTTGTGATTACATACAAAATAATATAAAATATTAACTTCTTAAATACTTCGGAATGGAGATGCAAAAATTTTAAAAGGCAATATAGTTAACCACATTGCGGAAGAATGTGTGTTACATTTCCCGCCGTAGACAGGGAATTCCCTCGCCATCAAGACTGGAAAGAATCATCTGCGTTTGATAAGGCAAAGCAGACATTTCTTGCAACACAAGGCTAGCCAGGATTTTCTACTGCGGGAGGCAGATTATATAATCCAGCTAATCAGAGGAATCTGGTGGAATAATGCATCATTGGCAAATTTCTAAGTGTCATTTCTCTTTTACCCAATGCATTTAATTCCACATTTTCTTCAATATTCACTCAATAATATTATCGTTTTATTTCAAATCTGCAATTTGAATAAACAACTTAATGGGAGCATCCAATAATCAGGTTTAAAAGGACCTAACAATAAATGAATGGAGATTAATCATCAAAGAACCAATGAGTGTATATATTCATATGAAGATGATCTATGCATTATTAAACTTTTGAAAATCAAGGTCGGTGACTGTTGTAGTATTAAGTACTAATAAGGTTTTCATTTAAATATAAACTTAGACAATGTCTTGGAACAAATCGTTATTGAAAAGGAAATTACTCATCATTCACGATTAAACTAATGAAAAATAACTTATAGTATTAGCGTTCATAACAAACATTATTTGATAGGTTTAGATTGATGTATTCAATTTTAAGTACGAACTAAAGTTTTTTTATGTATAGACCGGCTTACGATTATCATTTGAAAATTAAAATGTCGTTGGGATCATCTTAGATCTAACAAGTGATCTGAAATATTACCACGAACTGAATTTTAAAATTAGACTTTGGTACTAGATTGCAAGGAGTGATTTTGGTATATTAGAGTTTGGTCTTTCAGTTGAATTTTAAAACGGTTATTCATCAATACATCATTTTAGATTAAGATCATTACATTGATTGTATGATATTGTGCTTACTGCGAAAATATTTGGAATCTGTCACACAATACCAAGAGTTTAGCTCTTGCAAAGTCTATAAACGGCTTATGGTCATAGTTTAAAGCTCTCTCGATCCATAGTTCGAGAAGTATTGGTAAGCACTTACCCAAGGTCTGAGGACGTAGATGGTATAAAACAGTCCTCCGCATGTATATATGGTTTCAGAAAGCAAGTAAATTTTTATAAAACACCACTTTCTACGTAGTGCAAATATATTTCGCTTCAAATGCAAGAGAGACTCCCATCATTGAGTTTCTGTACGAGGAAGAGTTGAAAAAACTACAATGCCATGAATGTCGTTCTTGGAATTGTTTAACTCTCTTCTACCGCTATAGTACAAGAACAGTTAATCGCGAATGTCATTACATTGATGACAAAACGATCTGCAATTGATAATTTTCTATTTCTATCTTCACTGAGATAGTTCTCCAGGTACACTGATCTAAGTTTGTTTAATTATTTATTTACCAGCCCTCGATCTGCATTGATTATGCATCAAATTCATACATTTCTCACTTCCAAATATCGTGGGATCAGAACATTTTTTCAGAATATGAATAAATCAAATAATCGGACTTTAAAGAAAAATAAAATTACAGTGTTATTAAATTTTTATGAATAGATTATTAAGAGATAAAGTGAAAAAATGCGTATTTTCAATGCAGTAATAATATTTACACAGTTTCATTTAGTCTCAAAACATTTTTATTTCCTATGTAAATTATTAATTGAATTCGTATTTTATTGAAGATATTTCTCATAATTTTTTGTGTCAAATAATTTAATTCATTAACAACTGATGGGTATGATGTAGACTTATTTAAAAATTAGTTAATTTTCCTTGATAGAAAAATAATTTTACATGTAAACAAGGAAGGAAACAGAAGACGTAACATTTCTTCGCATCATTGGTGATTTAAATCTGAGTAATAAAATATTACTAACGCCTTTTTGTCACCATTCAGAGACTAAGTATAAAAAAATTCGCATTACAAAGCATCAAAGAAGTTCTGTTCAAGAAGCAAGACTATCCCATTTAAAACATTACTGAGACTAAAATCAATTTAATACTTATTTGCCGATACAGAAATTCCAAAAGCCGATATTTTCCTTTTGCCATAAAGAAAACAATATCCTATTGATTGTCTCTATGGGCTAAAATTGTACACGGATTTTAAGATCTAATACTTGAATAATAAGAAAAACATTTTGATACTACATATTGAGCATTGTTCACTACCGTGCTCGATAGCGTAAGAACACAGTTCAAAGCCAGCACCTCAAACATTCTAGTCGGAGATATTCTAGGATTGACTTCAGCTCGGTGGTGGATTTTGCACTCAGCTAAAAACAGCTGTGTCGGCGACGACTAGTTAACCGATAAGTCCAGAAATTGTCACCTCTGATGCGGTCATCTCTGTGGTTTCCTTTGAGGAAATCTATGTAGATGCCGGAGGAGTACCTAAAACAAATGGCCACGAACCGCAATCCTTCCTTCCGCACCTGACACTACTCTGCGAGTTCTTGAGTTGTGCGATGACGTGATGTCCCACTCTCAGACGGCACGTTCCTCATGAATTTGAAAGGCCTATGCAACATTACAATAGCCTCTGCAACGACTCCAGAGGTCTTAGGATTCGAATCGGATTTTAACACTAGCTAGATAGTTCGGTCTTATTCAGTCACTCTATTGAAGAGAATTATAGCGATAGGCTGATCTGAATGCGTAGTTTCCCCGATCTATGTGAGGTATTTGTCGGAACGGTACCTTAACAAACGAGCTACAAATCGCGCGCGATCTTTTCTCCCTTCTCAAATTGGAGCGAGAAAACCCCCCGCAGGCGGACGTATACGGAACCAAATCTTATATTCACGCGAGGGGGGTATACCATTTCCTCGAGAGATATAACAATAGAACATCACGCCATTACAGTCATAGTGTCAGGAAACATCAATCAATTAATGATTTACTGTCCAACTGGTGTCAGAGAAACGTAATGTCCTAAGGCTCCCGAAAACCATATGATTAATAAATTATTAAAATTAGTTTTCCGTCTTGAGTGAAAGATGTGATAATGGCAGTGGAGATGGCGTGCAGGTGGAGGAGGAGGAGTCGGACGAGGAGGAGGAGGAGGTGGTGGAGGAGGAGGACGAGGAGGTGGAGAAGGTGGAGGTAGAGATGGCGGAAGAAGATGTGGTGGTGGTGGTGGTAGTGGTGATTGTGAAGGAGGACGAGGTAGTGCTGGTGATTGTAGTGGAGGAAGAGGTTGGGGAAGGGAAGTAACGGTAGTGGTGTTGGTGGTGATGGTGGTGATGGTGATGATGGTGGTGATGGTGGTGGTAGTGGTGGTGGGGGACGTGTATGTGGTGCTGGTGCTGGTCGTGGAGGAGGAAGTGGTGATGGTGGTGGTGGTGGTGACGACGGCGTGGAGGTACTCACCAGGGCACCTGCTGCGTGGAGATGAAGATGTTCTGTCCGCAGGAGCCGAAGTTGTGCACCCAGCGACCGGTGACGTCGTCGTGGGTGAGCAGCTGGCACTTCTCCGCCCACTTCTGCGCCGCCCGCGCCGCGCCTTTGTGCCACGTCTGCGCGCAACACAAAACGAGCAGCCCGTTAGGTAACCAACAACACAGAGTAGCACAGCCCGGCTCGTGCGCACCTCCTTCTTACCACACTCCTTCAGACTTAATGCTAATACAACACAAATATTACAATCCACAAAACTAAAATCAATTATGTATGAATTTGATATTTTTTAGAGTCAAATTATTTTGACTTTTACTAGCAAGTGTATCCAGGCTTGGGCCGTGATTTTTATTTATGATTCACACCTGCGGGGTAAGGGAGACATGTGGCAAGCATGACGGATTCCCATTCTTGGACTTCCTGATATTTTTCTTTCAACTCGCAGATATAGAAGTCGAGACGAATTTGTATTAGAAAGCCAGTTTCATTTCGACGTAATTAAATTACAATGTACGTGTTGAAAATATTCGGTAATGAAACAGTAATGCAAGTGTTATTGCAATCAATATTTTTTTTTAATTTACATGAGTAGCATTCGATAGTTTGAGCGTTATTACACGATCTCCCAAACGGCAGATCTGGTGACGAAGGCTCAGCTATCGAAAGATGATTCTCAATTCAAAGCGAGTAAAATGTTAGTGAAGAATGATATTTGCATTGCTATTGTTATATCTCCAACTACTTGTCAATACGTAAAGGTCACGAAAGGGGTCGAACTGTCAAGTGAGAGAATAAATCCGCACACGAATTCCAAACAAGACAAGATCTGTCTTGGTTTGAAAATTACCAGTCACGTTTTGCACAATATTCAAGATAATTCATAAAGAATTCTCAAGGACTTACGGTATAAATTATCTCGAAATTACACTTTACACATTACGATGGAGGAGGTGGTGTTTAACATGACGACGGTTGAGTGATGACGGTGGCGGTGGTGTCACTAGTGGCCGCGCACCAGCGGGATGTGCGAAAGAGCAGTCAACGTAAAGCTTCCCCGTAAAGTGTAATTTTACTGGGAGTTTCTCAACACTGCAATAAACCTTCTGCAATTGCAACGTTTGGGAATGACTTAATTGGTCTGGTTTCTAAGTGATCATAGGTCACTGATTTGTCTTATGTACTACATTCATTCTTAGTCATCACTAAAAAGTTTTAGGGACTTACGAGTAGAGCATCGTTTAAATTGATACGATGGGAAAATGTAAAATAGCAATCGAGGAAAGGGTCAAATCCACACTGAACAGAAATTGTTTGAAAATATTGTTAAAATATTCTAGATTTTAACTATTGCTGACTGTTAAGATTCACTGGCCAACTGTTAAAGAGGATTCATATTTCGAAACACGTAAAAGTTTAAAAAAATATTCTAAGTGTTTTTGTATTTCCAACAAAAGAGTTCTGGGAGAAATCTCTTGTCTCAGATATCATAGGACTGAATGAATGGGAATGAATTGAATATATTGCCAGAAAATAAACTATTGAAAATTTTAATACTTAAAAAAGTGTGTTTAACTCCCCAACCTTTTTAAACATTTCAATGTATAAAAAATAATTACCATTGTTTGACAATAATTATAATGTGTGTGAAATTTACTCTGCCGTTATTTGTTTGTACTTCTGAGATCGAAAGTAATAGAGATAATTAATTAATTCGCGCGAGTGACTTGTTCAATAGGCACTTATGCACGTGTAAGAGGGAAGCTACACCAGTGGGGTAAAAACCATGAAAGGATTACTATCAATAATGAGTTTGTTTCAAGAAACACATTTCTTGAAACACTGTTTCAAGAAACAGTTCGAGGTACGAGTATAGAGGGCAACACAAAAAATGGTATTCCGTGACCAGTTCCTTTTACAATACGTGTAGCACGCGAGTGGTCATTAAGCCCGGACCGCTGTTTCGTTGTAATTGCAGTGATATAACAATTATAACGGCCCAGTTGCGTTTAAATTTATATTACCCTATACTACACGCGGAAAATACCCATTGAAGTCAACGTTAGGCGAGGTCGGCGACGAGCGATACTAATATACAGGTCTTTGTAACTGAATGTGTAAGAGAACGGTTTCTAATAAAATCAATGTGAGACTTATGAGCGGGAATGTCAGTTGCTATATTCATACAATAAATCATTAATCAATTAAAGATTTGTGTAAATAGTATAAAATTTGAATTAACCACTTACAGAGTTTTCATTAATTTCCATTAGTAAGAAGTTTCATAGGTTTCAGATGAACCAAATAAAAAAAATGTTGATAATCAATATAATGGTATTATTTTCTACTCATATCTTTGAGAGATAAGTAGTCTTCACCTTATTCTAGGAACTTGAAATTGCCTTTTAAATAAAAAATCTTATTTGACGACCACTTCCTCATACAAACATTGTAATAAGTAATATTGAAAGTCGAGAAAACATAGAATACTGAAACAATAACAACAAAAAATGCACAAAAGAACACACATTGCTGTATGTATATATGTCACATTAATGAAAAACAAAGCTGAAGAACTGAATCAAATAAGTGCGCTTATAAAGGGGTGCAACACCAATTTTGGCAAGTGAAATGTATCTAGAGCAAGCACGAGAAAAAAGAACCTCCTGAATCCAGTTGAAATGAAAACGATGAGAAAGTAGCGTCAAGGACACTAACAAAGAAATAAGGAAATTGGCAGAAGAGAAGGAAAGAATTTAATTTTCAATATCAACTAGATATGTAACGAAAGCTCGGCGATACAACCTATAGAACAATGGGTAGAAATATAAGAATCTTTCCCTCTACGATTTGCGAGTCGCCCCCTGAGTTGCAAAAACAAAGAATTTCTTCCGAATGAGGAACATTAAATAACGGACAATGCCCGGGAATATCTAAAAAGAAATGGAGAGATCCAGGTGGTAGGATCCAGTAGGCTGGGAAGTAAAAGAAGATGATAACGATGATGGAGATGATTGTGATAAAAAAGAGGTTGTAGTGAAAGAAGAGGAAGAAGACGAAAAAGATGGGAAGAAAGAAGAAAGGAAGAAGACAAAGTAGAAAGAGAGAACAAAGGAGAAGAATAACAAGGAAAGAAGAGATAGGAGGGAAGAATTTGGAGGAGATGATGATGATGATGATGAAGAAGAAGAAGAACAAGAAAAAAGGGGGGAGTCTGAAAAAGAAATGCAAATGAAGGAATTTAAATTCCTACAACCAAGACTTCTGAATTTTCTTGTCAGAAGTGAACGCGAAGGCGGGTGCAGAGTGAGAAAGGAGGAAGAAGTCCGTTGTTTGTTGGTGGTCACGCGAGTAGCAGCGCTATTCAGTCAGAGATTTATGAATGGCCGTCAAGGAGGTCCGGAGTTACCTAAACCACTTCAGTGCCCGAGTGGAAGCAATAATGTCCTACTTTGATGACAGAAAATTACACGCTGCCTCGTATCAATAAAGTACGTGCTGTTTGATACACTCGAAGGAAAATGGAGTCGGAGTGCAACCATTTAAGTGGTTAGGAGTAATTTATTGAATTAACTCCCTCAATATACTTTGCGATCACAAAACCCCTGAACGTGAGTGTTGTCCTTCTCTAGTGTTAACATATATTAATGTAAAACTGTTCCCCATTTTCATTTGTTGAAGAAAGTTAAATTTACAAACTATGTTCGCCGATGTACAGACAACAGAAAAATCTCACAACTACCATTCCTCCTCCTTTCACATTCTACGTACACTATCCACTTCCCATATCATTGCCGAGCACAAATATTTTGGTTATAGAACAGTGCATCGCCTGGCAATCACGTACAATATTTTGTCGTATGTATATGGTTACACAACTATGGATACTGATATCTTAATATTACTTACTGTAGACCATAAAAAGTAGACGATTACTTGTAATTATTTAAATGGGTATTTTGGTACTTCATCTGTTAATACATTCTAGAACCTCAGTTGAAAATTGGGTAACGGGAACAAACTTATTAGCTGCAATTTAATATATCTATATCTAAAATTATAGAATATGAAATTTCACCAGGACTGTTTCATTTTGTGTAATTCTGTGAAATGTTAAGGAGTGACTCTCTATGTAAGCAAAGGGAAAGGAGAAACGACATTACAAGTTGACCGTGAATGCAAGGTTGTTTAACCTAACCAGAAAGTGAATTGTGTATTTCCTCTGCTTCACAAAAACACACATGTAGTGGATGTCTTGTTCTTTGCTGTGTTGTGGGGGCTGTGTGGAACGACGGCGTCTACACTCTTTAACAAAGGACAGACATACGTCTGCCCATTGCGAAATATAGAGGTAATATTAAACAGTGTCTTTATTTTCTACCATTTCTCATAAGCTACTATAATTTCTACAACAATTAAAGTTAATTTAAACATTCCAGAGTAATATATAACGTCTCTCGATACCTTTACAAAAGAGTGGAACCAAAATAAAAATGAAATAACAATGAGAATTGTCAAAATAAAATGGAACTAGAAATCTCTTACATGTTCTTTATCTAAAATACTTTTATAGAGGTTGTGTCAAAGAAATCACTTGTTCTAACCTGAGATTAAGGTCACAGGCTTTAATTTGATTCCAATCACGGAAAAATGGCGGTAGAGCTGATTTTTCGATGAACAGCTAAGAACAACTAATTGTATTCTTTTCAAAGAGAAAATATCCTATTTCAGTTGTGGTATAATTACGCGCACTATTGAATCCTTTGTTCAATTAACAGTGGTTGTTTGTACAATTCTTAATTCCATTTGAACAAGTGTTTCCCTTTCCCAATTTGTTTTCTGAAATTATGCATCAAGAAAAAACTAATGCTGCAGACAAAGCACAAAATTTCTTATGGGATTTGTAAAGATTAGGTAAAATGGTAAATATATCACAAATTATATACCTCTACTATTCCAGGTGCCAAATCATTTATTGAACTGTTTAAAACCCAGCGTATCACGACTAACATCTTGTAACATATTAAACACACTGAAGGTAACATTGACCTTTTTGTTGCATAAATAGCCAATGATATGTTTAGCAAACAATTTAGTAATTATGGTGCAATCTATTGAACTT